CTCTAAGCTGTGCATCAGTGCAGGCTGCACGCCAGGTCTCATCTATCGAGCGCAGGTGGGCAGCGAGGTCAGAGACAGTGGGGAAAGATGCAAGGTCAGGAAAGAGCATCGGGAGGATCAGGCGACCCACCGAGGCAGCCGGAGGGGTGGAATAGCGCTGGATGACAGCATCTAAGTATGCCTGAGCAGTAGTGATAGACCTAAAGCGAGGGCGCTCGAGGCGTTGCTAATGGCAAGCTGGGCGACGGCATCGTGAGAAAGCCAGACAGAGCGCGCACGGGCAGTGGCAGCAGTTGACTCGCGCTCAGTGGGTGTGGAGTCAGCGGGCAGAATAGCAGGGGGGTCTGGGCAGGGGAGCGTACCGTCAAGGTGTGCGGAAAGCGGTTCACCATCCTGCCGCTGGCCAGTGAGTTGGCGACGGAGGTCGGCAAGCCACGCCTCGAACTCCAGAGGCTGACCTTCAGCGTCGAAGCGAAGCTCCGCCGCCATCAGGAACAGTGCAGTGCGGTGCAGGGCAGTGCAGCAAGGTGGAGTGCGGTGCCGTGCGGTACAGTGCGGCGCAGTGCGGTGCAGTGCGGTGGAGGGCGGTGCAGTGCGGTGCCAGGCACTACAGGGCGGGGGGGGGGGGGGGAGAACCGTACCAGTGAGGAGGACCGGGCCGGGGCAGGGACGAGCGCAGGGGCCGGGCCGGTGTAACGGGGCCGGGCGGGGGCGACGGAGCCGGGCGGGCGCGACGGGGCCGGGCTGGTGCGACGGGGCCGGGCGGGTGCGACGGGGCCGGGCGGGCGCGACGGGACCGGGCTGGTGCGACGGGGCCGGGCGGGTGCGTCGGGGCCGGGCTGGTGCGTCGGGGCCGAGCGGTTCGACAGGGCCGGGCCGGTGCGACGGGGCCGGGCCGGGCGAGCAGGACGGTGGCCCAGGAGGGGCGCACCGGGGCTGGGCGGGCGCGACAGGGCCGGACGGATGCGACGGGGCCGGGCGGCTGCGACGGGGCCGGGCAGGGGGCGACGGGGCCGGGCGGGTGCGACGGGGCCGGGCGGGCGTGACGGGGCCGGGCTGGTGCGACGGGGCCGGGCGGGTGCGACGGGGCCTGAAGGCGTGACGGGGCCCAGGAGGGGGCTCGACGCGGCCCAGGAGGGGCGCAACGGGGCCCAGGAGGGGCACGACGAGGCCCAGGAGGGGCGCTACGGAGCCCAGGAGGGGCGCGACGGGGCCTGGGAGGGGCGCGACGGGGCCCAGGAGGGGCGCTACGGAGCCCAGGAGGGGCGCGACGGGGCCTGGGAGGGGCGCGACGGGGCCCAGGAGGGACGCTACAGGGCCCAGGAAGGGCGCGACGGGGCCCAGGAGGGGCGCTACGGGGCCCAGGAGGGGCGCTACGGAGCCCAGGAGGGGCGCGACGAGGCCCAGGGAGGGCGCTACGGGGCCTAGGAGGGGCGCGACGGGGCCCAGGAGGGGCGCTACGGAGCCCAGGAGGGGCGCGACGGGGCCTGGGAGGGGCGCGACGGGGCCCAGGAGGGGCGCTACAGGGCCTAGGAGGGGCGCGACGGGGCCCAGGAGGGGCGCTACGGAGCCTAGGAGGGGCGCTACGGAGCCCAGGAGGGGCACGACGAGGCCCAAGAGGGGCGCTACGGGGCCTAGGAGGGGCGCGACGGGGCCCAGGAGGGGCGCTACGGAGCCCAGGAGGGGCGCGACGGGGCCCAGGAGGGGCGCGACGGGGCCCAGGAGGGGCGCTACAGGGCCCAGTAGGGGCGCGACGGGGCCCAGGAGGGGCGCTACGGGGCCCAGGAAGGGGCGCGACGGGGCTAGGGGGGTCGCGACGGGGCTAGGGGCACGACGGGGCTAGGGGGGGCGAGCGGAAGCGGTAGGTGGGGGGGGATCCTAACCTACGCGTGATACCATATCAGATTAGAGAAGTGAATGATGATAGAGTGAGAGTACACACAGATATACCTAAGTGTTGTACCCTCTAAGAGGCGACCCTATACAGTCTATACAAACATGACAAATACACATGTTTGACATTATGTGTATAAACAGAGCCCTGTCCACATATCTGAATTTGTCGCGCGGGCAGGTGCTTTTGCTGCTGAGTGACTGCCCGCCCCGAAACGACGTTTTCTTCTGCCCGCTCGCTTGTACCCCCTATATGTTCGAGGGTCCCATCCCAATCAAGTTGGGCCCAACTAGAAAGATGGGTCACTATTATAACCTCTCGCTTTAATGCCAAAATCTAAACTAGCTAGGCTATAAACAAATATGACGTAGCTAATCTATATAAATATATTTGTTGACAATAATACCACTCAAATATATATGTTTCACACAGCCATTCCAAATAGTACGGTACAGCATGGTGCAAGTATCCAATCTAGCAATTTAGTGCCACACTGCACAACTCAACGCTAATTTTTGGGACAGGAACGTTCCGAACCTCAGGTCAGGGGGATACTGCAAGTAGGGGGAGGTTGTTCTGCCTCAGCCAAGTGGATTGGGGGGAGCAAGCAGTGAAAGAACAAACACAAATAATGAACGCACGATCTCTACACTGCAACACAGCTGGCACGCAAAAACGCTTCCCTGGTACCGCCTCATCTGAACAGGCGTGTGGTGAGATTGGTGTAGAGTGGGGTGCACCCACAGGCAGAGCAGCCACCACAGTGCATGACAACCTTCATGCAGCTGCCAGGGATGCCGACACAGCTCAAACTTCACACAGGGGGGGTGATGATGGAGCGGTGGATAGCGATCAGGGAATGGTGATGGAGAAGAGCAGCGAGTCCTCCTTGAGCTGCAGCCCCGCTGATCCCCTCACCCGGCAGCTCGCCAGTGACCCGCCACTGCCTGTCGCTGCCAGCGCCCGCCGTACTGCTGCCTGTTGCTGCTCTGTCAGGGACCTTCTTGGCCAATCAACGAAAGACACGTCAAGATGTGTCAGAGTGCATGGAAGGTGAGTCAGCGCTTGCTCAGCGGGCCCAAAGACGGCGTCGAAGTCGGCGTGCGGCACGGAGAGCAGGTTGAGGCACGCCACGGAGGGCGGCAGCGACTGGAAGAGGCGCGGCAGGTGCGAGGGCGGGGTGGCTGCGGCAGTGGCGGCGGGGCCGTGGTGGAGCAGGTACTCCATGGCGCGGCGCGCCAGGAAGGACGGGTCGTTGGCGATCGTCACACTCTGACAGGGGCGATGGGGGAGGAAGAGAGGCAGGGAGGGGATTCGAAGGGGAGAAGGGGGAAATAGGAGCGGCAGAAGGTGGAGGGGAGAGGGCTCTGGGGTGTTATGGTTTGGCAAGCATGAGCTCTTAAGAGCAACCAAGTTACATGATGGTATGGCATGAGGGCGAATAGCATGGATGGGTCACGCAGCCTCTCATGGGCCATGCGCTGCTGCTGGTTGACAGCAGATTGCCCGCACGAACCTCACCATGGCACACAGGCAAAACTTCTGCACAGATGTACTCAATCTGAAGGTGCCGTCAAACACTCTTTCATCCATACACCCACATCCACACCACACCCCCCCCCATTTCCCAGCCTGCACACAGTGGGTGCAGCACGTGGCCCGTCGCAGTGCGCTACCTGCAGCTGGGGCAGGTGCGTGAGGAGGGCAGCAGCAAGGGGCACGCAGGAGGCCGTGGCGTACGACAGGTGCACCGTGCGCAGCGCTGGCAGCAGCGACGCCAGGCGCTGCCATGGGTGCAGGGGGGAGGGTTGCAGGGTAGGGAGGACGGGGAAGGAGAGTGGGGTGGGAGGGGCGAGACAGTCACGGAATGATGAAGATGACTGCAGCCGCTAGGATGGGGGGGACGACGAAAGGGTGGAGGGGAAGGTGAAGGAAGAGGCGGAATGGGATGGGAGCACCGTGATGGCAAGTGACGCACACACAGAGGCATTTCCCTCCAGATACACTTGTCATTCCAGCCACCCTTTTCTTAACCCATTCTTATTTTCTAAGACAGGGCCCTCACCCACCTTCCCCCTCCCTTCTCCACCCCCGCCCCCATTCCCCTGCCCCCACGGCACCCCCCCCAAGCGCGCATCTCGGCGCACCTGCAACTGCCTGCCTGCTGCCTGCCGCCACTCGCCCTCCTCCGCGTCCGCGCTAGCAGCCGCGCCCTCCCCGTGCGCGTCGCCCCCCAGCGCCACATGCACACTGGCCTGCTGCAGCGCGTACGGGCGCTGCGACGAGAGCAGCGCGGGGAGACTGGCGAGGGGGAGGGAGGAGAAAGGGGGGACACGTTTGTAGGGTCCGAGCGCTGTAAGAACGGAGGGGCGAAGAAAAGGAAGGGCGGAATGCGGCTAGGGGGGAAAGGGTGACACAGGAACGAGCAGGAAAAGGAACGGTGAGAGCCAGTGGGCACGGGGGACAGGAATGCACAGCGGCAGGGAAGGCGGGGGAATGGGGGGGAAGGGCGGCGGACCTTTCCTTGGTGAGCACGAGTCGCGAGGACAGCACGGAGAGCCGTGGGCAGTGCTGCAGCAGCAGCAGCGGCTGCTGCGCCGCTTGCCAGGCCGAGCCCGGCCCGCTGCCCCCGATGCTGCGGTGGTACAGCGAGCGCGCGCAGTAGCGGCGCAGGCGGGGGCACAGCCGCGCCACCATCGCCATCTCCTGGACGGGGCACGGCACAGGGGAAGAGGGAGGGGGGGGGAAGGGAATGTTGGTGCGCATGGGAGTGGGGGTACTTGTGTGTGCGCGTAAGGGTGAGGAGTGTGCGGGGAGGGGAGAGACAGATACCAGGGGGGCAAGAGCGAGGCAGCATGCGAGCAGTCAGCGACGCGCTTCACCTCGCCTCTGCCGCCAATCCCCACCACATGCCACGCACCCCACCCTCAACACCTTCCCCTCCGCCCATCCGTCCGCCCATCCGTCCACCCATCCCTCCGCCCATCCCTCCGCCCATCCGTCCGCCCATCCCTCCTCCCATCCGTCCACCCATCCCTCCGCCCATCCCTCCGCCCATCCCTCCGCCCAACCCTCCGCCCATCCCTCCGTCCATCCCTCTGCCCATCCCTCTGCCCATCCCTCCGCCCATCCCTCCGCCCATCCCTCCGCCCATCCCTCCGCCCATCCCTCCGCCCATCCCTCTGCCCATCCCTCTGCCCATCCCTCCGCCCATCCCTCCACCCATCCCTCCGCCCATCCCTCCGCCCATCCCTCCTCCCATCCCTCCGCCCATCCCTCCGCCCATCCCTCCGCCCATCCCTCCTCCCATCCCTCCGCCCATCCCTCCGCCCATCCCTCCGCCCATCCCTCCGCCCATCCCTCCGCCCATCCCTCCGCCCATCCCTCCGCCCATCCCTCCGCCCATCCCGCCGCCCGCGCCCCACCATGACGGGTTCCTTCAGCGGCCATATCTTCACGGCCGCGTCGCAGTCCACCACCAGCTCCTCCACGTGCCGCCCGTGACACATCAGCAGCCGCTCCAGCCACGTGGCGTGCACGAGGACGTCCATGGGGCGCGGGTGCGAGTTGCCGTAGAGCAGATTCAGCAACAGGCGGTCGCTGCCGCCCAGATGGTGCGCGTGCGCCGGGAATCGCGCGAGCACTGCGGATTCGACCTCCGGGCTGCGGGGAGAGAGGGTGGGAGAGGGGGGAACGAGGACGGGAGGAAGAGCGGAAGGAGGGCGAGGGAGAACGTGGGTTGGAAGGGTCGACCGGCGGAGCGAGGGAATAGGGGATCCGGGTGCGGAAGGCGGACTACGATGAGCGAGAGGTGGAGGGTGGGAGCACGGGGGGAGTAATGGCAGGGGCGGGCGCGGAGGGGGGATGCTGGCAGGCACAGAAATCGCATTGGACGAGCGCGGGCGGAAAACGAGACAAGGGACGGGGACAGGGAGACGCGCGAGGGGAGGGGAGGAGAGGGGGGGATGGGACGGAGGAGGTTCAACTAGAAGCACCTGTACTTGGCGGCCATCTGCCACCGTTGAATGGCATCGGGGCACCAGAAGGAGTGGTGGGTGAAGACGCCCAGGGAGAAGACGACGCGTCGCAGCGTCGCACCTCGCAGGCGATGCAGAAGAATGTCGCAGAGCGACGGGTCGACCCAGGCGAACTGCGTCATGTCCAGCTCGTCGACGCACTGCGAGGGAGGGAGGAAGCCGGGGGTCAGGGAGACGTGAGCACGGCGCCTTGCGGCTGCGGGGAGGCAGGGGCGACGCGGATTGCGGTGGATGGAACGGCAGGTGACTACGGCGGCGGCGAGAGCGTACCGCGAAGAGGTCGTCGGAGAGGGCCGCCATGGCACGGCACGAGCACACGAGCGACGCGAGGTCGCGGAACGAGAGGCGGCGCACGATGCTGTGGAGGAGCGGCTCGGGGAGGCCGCACAGCAACGCGGCTATGGCGCTGTTGCTGGGTGAATCCGCGGAGAACGCTCCTCCCGCCATGGGACGGGCGGCGGTTCAAGCGATATTAGCCCGCGACACGAATCCAGCAATAGGGTGGAGGTGAATCAAGACAAGCTGTGCGTAATGGCACAAGGTATTCGGACGAATTCTGAAAGGTCGCCCTGAAGTAAGAGCGAGGCGAGGTTTAGAAGTGGAAAGTGCGGACGAACGGAAGTGGTTTCGTGTTATGGGAGAGATAAACTAGTGTCCTCCTCTAGCTTCGCCCACAGACTGCTGTGAGAAGCTGGCGGATACGAGAGTGTCAGTTCAGGGCTAGCTGGAGTGGAAGCAAGCAACCTCTGTTGCTATGAGGAGCCAGCGAGACGAAACTGTGGTTTAGCAGGGGGGCAGAACGGGCAAGGTAAGAGCCGCCGCGCAGGAAGACACAGGAAGGCGCGGTCATATCACACCCTGTATGGGGCGTATCCAACCCCCCCTTCAACGATCCGGCAGATCGTTATTCTGTCACTTCATGGTAAGCATTTCACGGGATGTGATCACAAATTCAATTACCATAAGTAGGCCCTTGAGAAATCGAGACTCGACTTGAGCATGAGTGTGCTCGGATCAAATACATTGAACAACTCCCTCGCTCTACTTCCCTCTCGCCCTTGACGAAGCGATGCAGCAGCATCCATATGTTTGTGCGACGCGCGTGGGTGTGTGTGTGTGTTGCTTCTCATTCGTCCGATTGTTCGGAAGGGAATGATCGGGATTCATTAACCGAGAGCAGGCGGTGACGGAGACATTTATCTGTGACTCAGACGAGAGCTCCGCCAACGAATCCGAACAAGGATAAGGCGAAGCCTTGTCTCGTCATACGTGGTCGCTACCAGATTGGCCAGAGTGGCATCACTCAGGGCTGGGCTCCAATGGTAGCGGTTCACCTTAGCACGTGACCCTGTCACCCCTCTCTTCTAGAGTTTCCACACTCCTTACAACCTTTCGCAAGCTCTCGCAGTGCCGCTAAATAACGAGAACGCAATACATTGATTTGACATAAGCGAAATAATATACAATGACAATAAAAGCAATCAAACAAATAAGTGGGCACGGATGAATGCATGGCTGATGACTATCCGGGGTGCTGAAAAACTATGCTAGATCATGAGAAGTACAATTATTAATAGCGCACATGCAACCAACTCTGATATTTCAACTAGGTATCCTAACTTGTCTCAAGTTCACTCGATTGGAAGGTGTGACTGTTAGAATACTGGGAGTACCGTATGAATTGAAACAAGAGAGAACAAGTAAGATATATGGTTGGGTTGTACTCTCTAAGAACATATTGTTGAATTATATATGTTAGTATATAATTATGGGCTTGGTAGGCTTACTGAACTTTACTATAGACGGTACAACACCCCTCCTTGTATCCCTCTCTCTTCTATTCTGATCATCTTTTCTCTCCTCAAATTTCCTAGCACCTCAAACCTCTCGCCATTTCCGTGGCTCCTCCTAGCTCCTAGCTAAACCTTATGCCATTTTATGGCTTCCTAGCTAAGCTAGTCTTGTGACATGGTATAAGAGCAGGAGGTCCTCCCTGCTGGACCGCCTCCTCACGCTTCCGCCGTGTACTCCTCACCCTCGTTTGCTTGCGCGGCCATGGCGGCCGCGTTTTGCTGCAGTGGCGGCGTCCTGATGCCGCTGGCCGCGTCGTGCCGCGGCCGTCTCGACGCGCTGCCGTGGTGTCGGGCCGTCGTGCTGCCGTCGCAGCGTCGACGTCCCGCCGCGGCGTCGACGCCGCTCTGTGACAGCGTCGTTGGGCTGCAGCCGGCCGCGCGACGCCTGTGGCGCCGCTAGACCAGCCGCTCGCATGCCAGCCTGCGGCGCCCCCTCCCCCCCCCCACCTCCTTCCCCTGTGTCCTCCTCTTTTCCGCAGACGACGGCTGACTCCCGCTGGCCGTCCCAACGTTGCGGGGTCTGGCCACGTTACCGAGAGATGCGGGCGCCGCCGCCGCCGCCGCTGTCGCCGCTTGCGTCGAGGCCACGCAGCCGCACACCACCGCCGCCGCCGCTGTCGACACTGCCGCCGTCGCCGCCGCAGCCCCTGCGGTCGACGTCGCCGCCTCACGCGCCGATGGGTCGACCGAGCTAGTGTCGCTGTCACTGTGGCTGGAATGGGAGTGCTAGGTTAGGGGGTGTGGGTGTGTGTGGGCTTGTGTCTACCAAGCCTAGGGGGTGTGTTAAATTACATATGTTAGTATATAATTATAGGCTCGGTAGGCTTACTGAACTTTACTGTAGAGGGTACAACACCCCTCCTTGTATCCCTCTCTCTTCCATTTTGATCCTCTTTTCTCTCCTCAACATTCCTAGCACTTAAAACCTCTCGCCATTTCCATGGCTCCTCCTAGCTCCTAGCTAAACCTCATGCCATTTTATGGCTTCCTAGCTAAGCTAGTCTTGTGACACATTCACCTATTCTAGCCTATAATTACTACATGCAAATGTATGAATACGTTGACACACCCCCTAGGCTAGATAAGGGTACTAAATTATATTGGTTATATATAATAGTAGGCTTGGTAGGCGTTACTGAAACCTACTGTAGAGGGTACAACCCCCTCCTTGTATCCCTCTCTCTTCTAATCTCGACCTCTTTTATCTCGTAACTTTCTCCTAGCTAAACCCTCACGCCATTTCATACAATCCTAGCGTCCTAGTCTCTTAACAAAATGGTAGTGCTGAGCAAGAAGCACACAGCTCAGGGTGGCACTACTTGTCCAACCTCTAAGACAAGGGTCCGAAGACCAATCAGCAAGAGTACAAGCAAGACAGGAGCAAACCAGGGCGGCACTACTAGTCCGACCACTAGAAGAGAAACCATAAGGCCAGTCTGAAAGATATATATAAAGAGGAGTACACAATCTAGGTACTAGCAAGTGAGAGTCTACAGAAACTAGACCAAGCTGCAAGGAGTGCAGCTGATGATCTTTAGGCACAAGCGCCTTAGTAAAGATATCAGCTGTGTTGGCACCTGAGGCCAAGTGTACGACCGGGCCTGGCGACGCTGCTGTAGCTCACGCAGGAGGAAGTACCGCAGCTGAATTTGCTTCGCTCTGCCCTCAAGTCGAGGCTCCTGACACAGGAGGATCATGGCCCTGTTGTCAGCGCACAAGACCGGGAAAGAGCTAGGTTGCTCACCTAAGTCGGTGAGCAAGAACGTCAGCCAGCAAAGCTCCTGTGCCGCCATGGCACCAGCGTAGATCTCAACCTCACAGCTAGACTAGGCAACAGACGAGGAGCGAATGGACCTCCACGAGATGGCACCCAAACCAAGGCTAAAGCACTAGCCCTGGGAGGACCTGAGAGTCTCAGCGTCGTCTGCCTAAGAAGCGTCTGTGTGCCTAGTAAGGACCACTGGCCTGCGTCCTCCTAGCACTAGCCTCATGCCCGATGCACTCGCTAGATAACGCAAAACCCTCTTAGCAGCCGACCAGTGCTGTGGTCGGTGTCTGCCGGTGGCCACAAAGCGAGCCAGGATGCTGAGAGGGTATGCGAGATCGGGACGAGTGCAAGTCATCAGGTACATGAGGCAACCCACCAGCTCTGCGTAAGGACCACTAGGCTCTACTGACTCCTCAGGTAATCGAGCCGAAGGCTTGTGGTCTAGTGGCAGAGGTGTGGGCTGTGCGGAGGAGAACTGAAGATCAAACCTCTGAAGGACTTGGCACACCAAGTGTGGCTGTATGAGAGTGATGGTGCGCGCTACTCTGTCCCTGGAGATCTGCAAGCCAAGGTAGCGGCGTAGCTCTCCTAGTTTAGTGTAGGTGTTTCTCCTCGGCAGCTCGGCCTCCACGGAGGCCAGCGTGTCTGTGTCTACAATAGTGAAGACCAGGTCCTCTACGTAGACAAGGATGTAGAACAGAGTCTGGCCAGCACGAACAAAGAGCGAAGGGTCTGAAAAGGACGGAAGGAACCGTAGGTCAGCTAGCGTAGCACGCTGCGTGTTGTGCCACTCACGTGGCGCCTGTCGGAGGCCGTAAACTGGTCGCCGGAGGAGCCACTGGGTCCCAGGAGGGAAAGTACCGGGGAAGCCCTGCGGTCGGCGCAGGTAGACCTGCTGTGTAGGCTGCCTTGAAGAAAAGCAGTGGAGAAGTCGAGGGAGTGGAGCTCGAAGTCACGCTGTGCTGCTACGTGTAGCAGCGCCCAAAGAGTAGTCATCTTCGGGGTCGGTGCGAAGGTCTGAAAAAAGTCCACCCCCTCTCGCTAACAAAAGCCTCTGGCCATGTAGCACGCCTTGAACACAGGCGGCTGTCCAGGGGGCCGCTTCACATTGAAGAGCCATCGGCCGTCGACTACGTTCACCCCAAGTGGGGGAACTGCGTCGACGTAGGTGCCGGTGGATCTCCAAGATGCCATCTCCTGCTCCATGGCAGCTATCCACTGAGAGGCCCAGGGTTTCGAGGTCGCCTCAGTGTCAGTGCGAGGGGTCGGAATGTCAAAGGCGTCTGGGTCACCCTCAGGGACTAGTAGCATGGAGCAGAGATGGGGAGCAGCCTCGACCGGAAAGCAAGCTCGTACTGCTTGTCCTCCAGGACGTCACTGCCAAGGGCAGGAGCACCCCTGACAGACGGAGGACGGACAGGGTCAGAGACCAGAGCGGTGGCGTAGTCAAGGCGGCGGGTAGAGGTGAAGTTAGCGACAGCAGCAACAAGAGCGTCAAGACTGGAGACAGGAACAGACGGGTCGGTAACGAGGAAGGCAAGGACCCAAGGAACAAGAGAACGAGCAGCACAAAGGTAGTCAGACAGAGGGGGAGGCGCGACAGCGAGCGAGGACGGAGGAGGGGAAGGCAGGAGGGGAATTCGAGATGCGTGGGAACGAAGCAACATAGGGTGAGAAAGCGGAACAGGAGAGACAGGACGAGCACGAATTGGATGGCGAGACCTGATGTGAAACAGAGGCGTCGGGTCAGGAGACAGAGGAGGAGTAACAGGAGGGGAACGGGCTGGGGACGAGTCTGGCAGAGGAAACACAGGACCGTGGACAGGAAGGGGAGGAGGCGGCGGGGGAGGCGCAGGCGAGCGGTCAGGGGAGGGAAGGCCGAGCAGGCTAAGGGCGGACACCAGCGCCGACTGCTACTGCTGCGGCTGCTCAGCGCCGACACCGGGATTGCGAGGAGCACTGCGACCATCTCCGGAAGAATCCACTCCAGCACTTCCAGAACGAGCACCCCCAGAGCGAGAACCCTCTCAAACACCGGTACCACCCCCGATCTCGCTGACACAAGCTACGACATGAACCCCAGGACTAGTACCCTCCTCAACACCAGCACCCCCAGAGTCCAC